ATTTTCCAGCCTCCTAACAGATACAGACAAGATTCCTGGGAAGGAAGTATTTTCAATTCCATTTTGAGCTTCATGTGTCCCCGGCTTCCAAGGAAGGTTGCATGTTTCCCAGGGGAGGAGAAATAAATTATTGGGCTTGCTAAATTTTGCAGCCCGCCTGCCTGGGCTCTGCTGGGCTCTGCTCTCTGCCCTGTGGGGAGTGTGTGCTTCTCCACACTGCCTGCAATTTGGAGGCTAGATCAACTCCAGAGGTCAGCACAGGAACCCAGAGCCAAACTCACCAGCAAAGGGAGGCTGAGTCTCCCAGGTGGTTCAGAATCAATGGAGATAGGAGGTAGAAAAAAGTAGTGGGACCATTTGCAGGGCCACCTTCACATCCCACACCAGCGGAAGTATAGCCTCAAAGCTAAGACTGTGGGCTTTGCTGTAAGATAATCCTGGGTTCAAATTCTAGCTCTCACATTTGGCTGTGCCATCTTGGACAGATAATACACCCTCTCTGCATCTCAAGTCTGGCAGAGCTGCTGAACAGACTTAAAAGCCCATCACGGAAGTGCCCCAGAGCACAGCACTAGGAAATCTATACAAGATAAAAATAAAGTGGAATAAAACCAGATCTCTCCCTCCACAACCTTCAGACTCACTCTCATTCATTTCACAAATATTCATGGAGCACCCACTATGTGTCCAGCAGCGCTGCAGGCACTGGAGAGACCCCTCGAACAAGCCAGACTGAAAATCCTTCTCCTTGTGGTACTTTTGGAGGGAAAGGAGGTCAGGTGATGAATAAGTGAATTAAATAAACAGGGGAATTACACCATGTCTCAAGTAGTGAAGGGCGCTCTAGAGAAACAGAACACAGGAACAGATGTGTTCATGGAAGACCTCGTGGAGAGAGTGACACCGAATCAAGGCCAGAAGAAGGAGCTGGAAGAACGTTCTAGATGGAGGGGTGGAATCTCCCGATTCTAAGATTCTAAATTCACCTGGCATGGTGGGGAGCGTGGAGTCTCCTGGGGTCTCCCAGCGGTATTATTATAGTGCTGAGCACACAGCAAGTGCCAAATAAAGACGTTCTAAGGGTGATTTTTCAAGCTGCCACTTTCAGAAGGTCCCAGTTGCTGATAATACGATACGGGGCTGCTTCAACAATCTGCGTGCAGCCCTGTTGTGACGAAGCTGCCCCAGGGGCCCCCAGCCCTGGGAGCCTCTTGCAGCACACCTCATTATTAAACAGGTGAGCGGGGCTCCTGGGACCTTCACCGTAATTAGGGCAGGATCTGAGCAAGGGCTCTATTTATAACCCCCAGCCATCAGCAAGCCAGGGAGACGACGAGTGGGTCCCTCTGCAGCTCCTATACCAACATCTATATGTGAACTGATTACGACAATTAATTTAATAGGGATTCCTCCACACAAACAATGTATCATTTTATTAGGAAACTCTATAAATGTCAGTGGTGCAATTCATTTTTATTAATTTTCTGAAATGAAATTAGCAGTGGCAGCGGCAGCGGCAAACAGAAGTTGTATTGCCTCCTCATTCAGCAGAGTATTGGTGTCATTAATTCCTTAATACCAGGAGGCCGGTTTGCATGAACTCAGCAGTTAACTGCACCAATTAATTTCAATACAAGAGAAGGGAGGGGGATGGGGAGATCCAAACTCAACCCAACAACTAATTTAGGAAGGTCCTTGAACAACCACAGCAACTTTTCCGCCTCCTGGGACAAGAAGCTTTCAAATGTAAACACGGACTGGATGTTACAATACTAATAGGAATCATTCTATCTTTACCCTTCGCTTTCAGAAAAGAAACTCGTCCTTCCAAAGCCTGGAGAGATCGTGGCAAGTACGTCCCAAAATCAAGGACAACAGGAAGCCTGGGGATGGCCCCTTGCAAACAGACCTGCTTGGGCACCGACCCTCATAGCATACAAAGCAAGATCACAAATACTGTCTCATTCAATCCTCATCGTGACCCAGCGAAGACACAATCAACGTTGGCCTCTGTCTCATGCATGAAGAAGAAAAAATGGAGCTTTGAAAGGGGCTGAAACAACTCTGTTAAAGTCACAAAAGTACTGAGTGATGGGGCCAAGGCTCAGACCTGGATATGTCAATATCAAAACCCTCATCCCTTCTCTGCCCCCAGACGCCCTCCTTGTGCCTCGAGACAGGAAGTCTCTTGGCTCTATTTATACTCCCCCAAAGTCAAGTGAGTCAGGCACGACCATGAGTGACATTCACTTCTCAACAGAAACCCGAATTCAGGCTGAAAAACAAGGCAGGATCCCCGCCCTGTCGTGCCATCAGGGAGCGACTGAAGAAGGACTCACGTCCGCACATCTAAAATCAGATGTCTAGCCCAGGAGGCGTAACAGAGAACCTCGTTCTCTGGCTAAAGAGAAGCTCTTTCCTTCCACTTAGATTCAAGAAGTGTTTGGCTGAGGAATGAAGGGCGTGTGGAGAGCCTGGAGGCTGCTCGAGATGAGGACCACGGTGGGGAGTCAGGAAATGGTGCCAAGGTGGAAATCAGACAGACTTCCTCCTGCCCAGAGAAACTAGAGCAGCGGTTCTCAAAGTGAGGTCCCCAGCCAGCCACACCCCATCACCTGGGGCTGGTTAGACATACAGAGGATCGGGCCCCACCCAGACATCCTGAATCAGAAACCAGGGGTGGGGTCCAGCATGTTACTGGAGCAAGCCCCCCAGCTGATTCTGATCCCTGATTAGGTTTGGAAATCACTGCCCTGGAAGAAGGTGCCCCCAAAGAAAGGAGAGATGAGTGGACCAGGCTCTCCACACTACAGGACACAGCTGTGCTCACAGACAGTAGATGGGTATCACATTCGCTCTCCCTGCCCCAACTCTGACCACCCTCTAGCAAAGAACGTCCTTCTTGGCCTCATTCTTTCTGGGCTTGGCCACAGGAATTGCTTTGACTAATGGATTGCAAGCAGGTGTGGCATATGATGGGCTAACTAGATGGCGATAGTGGTAAAGAACCCACCTGCCAATGCAGGAGACATAAGAGACCTGGGTTCGATCCCTGGGTCAGGAAGATTCCCCTGGAGGCGGGCACAGGAACCCACTCCAGTATTCTTGCCTGGGAAATCCCATGGACAGAAAAGCCTGGCTGGCTACAGTCCACTGGGGCCACAAAGAGTTGAACATGACTCAAGTGACTTAGCACACATGCACCCATGTGACACATGATGCCACATCCAGGGGACTTCACTATGCCTACATGGCCTGCCTTGGCTGTTAAGCCCCTGCCATTCTCCATGAGACCCAAATGTCCCAGACAGGGAAGAGGGGTAGTAGACAGGGGTTGGGGGAAGCTTCTAGGCCTAGGTCCTACAATAAGAAGACACATCAAGTGGTCCTGAGCCCAACCCAAAACCAAAGCCAACCCACAGACCCATGAGCAGGAAATAAACATTTATTGTTATAAGTTACTTAGTGTGGAGATTGTTTCTTACAAGGCATTATCACATCAAAAACTGATTGATACAAGCCATTTGATCTTATAGCAAAGGAAACCATGGCCCCAGAAGGCCGAGAAGTTGAAGAGTTCCTACAGAGGGGTTCAGGATGAAAGGTAAAAAGATTAGTCAACTCTACCCCCACCTGGGAATGCAAATCTCAGGAACTCACCTCCCTTTCCTCAATATCCTCTGATACACTCTTTCAAAATGGAAAATTTTGTCCTCATCTAATGGATGTGTGTGTGCTAAGTCATTTCAGTCATCTCTGACTCTCTATGATCCCGTGGACTGTAGCCTCCCAGGCTCCTCTGTCCATGGGATTCCCCAGGCAAGAATACTGAAGTGGGTTGCCATGCCCTCCTCCAGGAGATCTTCCTGACCCAAGAATCAAACCCCCATCTCTTATATCTTCTGCATTGGCAGCCAGGTTCTTTACCAGTAGGCCACCTGCGAAGCCCCATCTAATGGATGCTAACCAGTAAAAACTGAAATGTCTTGAAGAAATATTTTAAAGAACCTTCTAAACTGAGTAAATATTTTTCTTCCATGGCTCGGAAAGGACAAGCTGATGGCCAAGTGGGCAGAGTGCACACCCCTACCCCTTTCCCTGGTCTCCCAGTTAACAAACAGGGAATTTGGTGCTTCTGGCCAAAGGAAACAGACTGGGCTTTCCATCTCTCAGGTTCAAACCCATAGCCCAGTTATCCTGTAAGCTGTTCTCTGGCTAATACCACTCAAGCTGTTAAACATCTGGGCCTATCACCACTAATAGAAAACCTGTGGCAATTGGAAGACAGTGGCTGTTTTTCCAAAGCTCTAGGATAGAACATACCAAAAACGAAAAAACTGAGAGCTGGGGAGGAGAAGAGGCTGCCTTTAAAATCAACCCTAAATCCCAACGCCCCCATTCTTCACAAAATAATATCACTCGCCCTGACAGAACACAAGTTAGCTGAATCCTCGCCAATTCCCTCTGTTCCCAGGTGGTGAGACGAGTTCGGTGTCCGTGGCAGTTGGCAGGTTCATGGAGGTGGACTAAATAATAAATTGCAAACAGCCATGCCTTTCTGATTGGGGAGATCTTAACGCCATCCAGAAAAACTGGACTTTCAGTTTGTGAAACGTGTTGAGATGAAAGTGAACAGTTAAGGTAGTTTCTCTTTTTGAAAGTACGTTTATAGAGAACATCGGTGGCACTTTCCCCAAATAAACTTCCCCTGACAGTCCTGCCTGCCAAGCCTTTCCAAGCACCCAGCTGAAGGATCCAGCCTTAAGCCAGCAGGTTAAAATTTCCAACTTGCATGATGGCAACTGCACTGGTTTTAATCCATCTGATTGCATTCACTACCATGATCTTGGGCCAAAGAATGAGACCTCAGTGTCACAAGCTATCAGGCACAACATGGCATTCTGAACTTGCTCATGAATGAACTGACCAAACCAAGTAATCAATGAAAATCAATACATTTACTGCACATATTCAAAAAACCATGAGATCTGGGACATTACCTTGTCTTAGGGGAGGTGGTTAGCCATTCTTCGTGTTTCTCAAATGTTATTAAATAAGCTGCAATTTCCTGAAACAGAAGAATAAAAAGATAATAACAACAATTAGCTCACTTAGGATCCTGAGAGGTAAGAAGGATGATTTTATTTTATTTTTATTTTTACTTTTTTTTTTCTTTGCTGTTTTCCCAGCCGCCATCCTCTTTTGTGAGGTTGGAAGCTCATCTCCAGTGGAGAAATACTCAACTTGGACTGCGTTTCTATTTTGATTTTTTTAAAAGACCTTTCCATTCAACCTGCCATACCGTAATAATCAAAGCACTGGGTTTCAAAAGATGAGTTGGTGGCAAGGACAAAGATACCTCTCTGTGGAAGGAAAACATCAGACACCATTCCAGCTTATAAATGTCATTAATTTGAAGCAGGAGAAAACACACGCCAATAACAGGTCTCCACTCGTGCAAGGTCAGAACTGGAAAGTTTAGTCGGTCTCCCTCTGAAACTGGAGTAACCTTTCATCATTGTCACAAGGAGCGTTGCCTTCTCTCAGCATGAGCCCCAAGCGCCGAGCCACATCACACAAAGATTAAAAAAAGGAAAGAGAGAGCCATATTACAGAGACAGAGACAGGGAGACAGAAAGAGAGAGAGAGAGCGGGGGGCAGGGAGGGTTAACCTTTCCTACTTCTGATAATCTACCGAAGATCGCTTCAGAAAGACGAGCCGTGTCAGCAGAGTTTAAGGCAAAGATGGAGAAAATGTGGGCACCTGAAGGTAAATTAAATATTTATAAACACAACAACATCACTGCAGATAGAATTACTGATTTATTAATCATTTCCATAAAAAGCCAGTGGATGACATCCACATAAGTCATCGCTCGGGCTCCAAGGCATGATATGGCCCATTACTTCCAGCTCCAAAAGGACCTGCTGATGTGAAATTGGCAGGAACTGTAAGTTAAATTAAGGCTGGACTAGTATGCCATTCCCTTGATCTTGGTGATGATACAGCACGGAGCTGCCGCCCTCGACAACCAGAAAAATGCAGGGAGCCAGCCTCCCGTCTCAACTTCCTGTGCCACTGGGGTTCCGGAAGCACTCCTGGGGATGGAGTAACAGTCAGCCTCCTCCAGGCTTGGACGTCAGGGTGTGGACACCAGTGCCACAGAGATGCTCAACTTAGGCTTGAAGGAAAAGAGACACCACCAAAACCAGGGAAACAGTGCAGGTCAGTGTAGAAAACACCACCCAGGCTACACAGTATGATGGTCACAGGCCCAGATGGGGGTCAGGGCCTCTCATCATGGTGGAAACTGGCCACAACCACAAGCTAGCCATGACCGCTAACCAGAGCCCCAGCTACATGAGTCCTTTCCCCAACAAGCTGGGAAACAGAAACCTATGGCAAAAATAGAGTTGCCTTGTACAGATTTCTTTTTTCCTCCTCTGGTAGTGCTCTGTGACAACCTTGAGGGCTGGGATGGATTGGAGGGCGGGAGGGAGACTCAAGAAGGAGGGGACATATGTATACTTATGGCTGATTCATATTGCTGTATGGTAGAAACCAATACAACACTGTAAAGCAATTAATTAATGGCCACCTGATATGAAGCGCCAACTCACTGGAAAAGCCCCTGAGGCTAGGAAAGATTGAAAGCAAAAGGAGAAGGAGGTGACAGAGGATAAGATGGTTGGATAGCATCACCGACTCAATGGACATGACTTTGAGCAAACTCCAGGAGATGGAGGACGGGAAAGCTTGGCATACTGCAGTCCATGGGGTCACAAAGAGTCGGACATGACTTAGGGACTGAACAACAACAATCCTCCAATTAAAAATTTTGAAAAAAGTTTCTATTGTTGATTTCAGTTAAAGAAGCTGATCAATCAAATCATTCTCTTCCCTCTCCCTGGACGATGTCCTCCCTAAAGTCTTACCATAGACAGATACCGCCTCCCCAGGCTGGCCCTCCTAACTCATCATGACAGGGCTGGCTGCCCATCCTCAGTGTTCGCATGGCACCTGGCACCTTCCTCCAGCACGAAGGATTGATCACTCTGCATCCTAATGGCTTGTTTACTTGGATGGCATCCCCCACTAGTCCATGTACTGCTCAAGGTCAGGGACTAGGTCACCACTGATACATCCCAGGACCTAACGATGTCCTGATAAATGTTTGTTGGATGGATGAATGGATGGGTGGGTGGGTACGTAGGAGGGAGGTATGAAGAGCAGGCACTGTAGAAATAAAAGTGCCTGTATATGGGAGGGATATATGTATATACATGACTGATTCACATCTCTGGATAGCACAAACTAACACAGTATTGTAAAGCAATCATCCTCCAATTTAAAAAATATTATAAAAAATCACCAAACTTCAAAATACTGAAATTCTAACCTAATGACTTTTTTTCCAGGAATAAATCCTATTGTCTATAATGCTATGATCTACTTTTTCTAAAAATGGAGATTTCTTGGTGAAAAAAAAGTGTATACATAAGTAAGGGTGTTTGTGTGTGTGTCCTAAGTATGTTGAGTGTCTGTATACGTTTATTACTTAAGATAGTTGAGTGTTCAGTGCTCAGTCAGGTCGACTCTTCGCGATCCCATGGATTGTAGCCTGCCAGGCTCCTCTGTCCATAGGACTCTCCAGGCAAGAATACTGGACTGGGTTGTCATTACCTCCTTCAGGGGATCTTCCCGACCCAGGGATCGAACCCTCGTCTCCTGTGTCTCCTGTATTTGCAGGTAGATTCGTTACCACTGCACCACCTGGGAAGCCTAAGAAAGTTGAAGCAAGTGCTTGAAAGTAGCAAAACCCAGCAGCTCCTAGACAGACCTTTACGGGTGAGTTAATTAACTCTGGTCACCTGGGAAGGTGATAGAGTCTGACGGTGAAGAGCTCACGCTCTGGAAGCAAACAGACCCAGCTTGGGGGCTGGCTCTGCCACTTACTCACTGTCTGCCCTTGAGCATGTTATCTGACCTGTCCAGACCTCGGTTTCCTAGGAAACTGAGATCAAACCACTTCATGGGTAGTTACAAGGAGTGAAAATTCTTAATACCCTGCCTGGCATATAGCAATGCCCAACAATCACTGCTGCCACGATTATGATTAGAAGGTCTACGTGGTGCAAGTCGGCTCTACAGAGACCCCTGATGAGGTAGCAAGTACCCAATGGTCCAGCTGCCTGTGCTGCTGGACTTACCTCCATCAATCCCCACCCTCTACGGCCTCCACCCCAATACCCGCCACGAATGCTAACATCACAATGACTCTTCAGAGTTAGTTGGCATCAATCCTTCCCCTTTTCTACTGGAGCCCACCTCGTTGCACAAAGCACTGGGAACTAACAGTGGCTGGAGTCGGGAAGTGGATAAACTGGGCCACTTTTTAGGTGCTCATCTACCTGAACTTCAGGAGTTTTGATATCTGGGGGAATGGTCTACACCAACTGGAACCCCTGGGACTCAGGCTCCTGCCCAGGCTAAGAGCTGAGAGCTAAGTGACCCCTAATAGCCCAGAAGGATGGGGGCACAGAGCACCCCAGCCACCTCTAAATTCATCACAGTGTTCCAAAGACATAGAGCCCCAGAGAAGGCCTTCGTGAACAGGCAATGTTTGCCCCAACCTGTCAGGGCTCCCCACTACTGCTACTGTTGTACAAGGAGAAAAATTCCCTGGGCTGCTTATTTTATTCACTATTTACTCTACAAATGTTTATTGAGCACCTAGTAGGAGCAGCCAGTGAAAAAGACCACATGAAGTCTGCCCCTAGAGAGCTCACAGCTGAGGACAAAGACAAGTCAATGTAATAGTGGGGCTTTCATGTCATCACAGGGTCAACTGTCCCGTCAACTCTGTAACCAGACCCAGTGGGTCATCTCAGGCCTGCCAAGCTACCGTGCAAACAAGCAGAGGCCCCAGGGAACCACACCGATTCATGGACTGTTTTCAAGCACTAGCTACACCCTCCTCCACTCTCAAGGTAACAGAGACACCCCCCCCCGACATATATCCCCCTGGTGGAGCACACGTCCCCCTTAAGAGCAGCCCCTCCAAACACAGGAAACTGAATGCCTAGCCCCAGGCTCCCTATTCTGTGGTGCTCTCCTTGACTAAGCCTGAAACTGAACTTGATCACCAGGGAGCATCGCTCTGTTACTACCTGACTCCCATCTGGACTGGGAGTGTCTAGGTCACCTGTCAGATGAGCAGACCATGGGCCAGACTCTGCCTCCACAAACCTTAGAATTTTGTTTGGGAGATGGCTAGGCACATCCCAAAGAACCTCACAGAATAGTAGATGCTAAAGAGTATGAAGCAAAGTGAGACCCATCACAACTCAAGAGTCATCTGGGCTATGAAGGGGATTGATTTCCAAGGGAAGGGGGATTTCACCATCTGTTTCATCGTAACAGCTGGTGCTGGCAGTGGTGTCCAAGGCCAGCGAGTGCTCCAGGACTTCACACAGGACAGTCTCATTTAATCTTCAAAACAAACGATGCAGTGGGAACCATGCCCATTTTACAGGTGGGGAGCCTGAGGCACTAGGCAGTTCAGTGACTTGCCCAAGGTCACATGGCTACGCTCTGCAGAAGTAGAACCTGAATCAATGTGGAATGGCTCCAGAACGCACACTCTCCACCACTGATCAGGATTTCTTAAAAGAACAGCTACAGTGTACTCAGAGGGAGGAAAGGAAACCCTGCCCGTGGACAGTCATGCTTCCCCTGGCTCAGGCTAACAAGCCTCCTGGCCTCTGCTGAGCCAGAGTTACCTCACTGCCCCACCTCCCTTCACGGGACCAGGAGCAGTGAGACTAAGCATCCGTGAGCAGGATTCTCCCCTTCCAGCAGGATCAGGCTCCTTTCCACCGCAAAACCTGTGTATGATTCATGGGATCATCTATTTTAGTGACAGGAGAAGTTTCCTATATCCAGGAACCTTTTGTTTTAAATGTCTTACAATACAGACAAAACAGACAAAAAGAGAGAGATGCTCTAGCTAAAGAGAGAAAGAGGTTTTGAAAAAAGGCATCTTCAGCCCAACTTTCTGGCCCTCA